CACCCCTCCCACAGCTTCCCGCCCCGCAGCAGCCAGGAGCCCTGGAAATAGTGTCACCAGGGGGTTGAGGGCAGCAGCATGGGGAAAGGAGATCGGCCGCCACTGCCTGATTCTGGGGAGCGTGGGGGGAGACAGGCTCCATGCGTGGGAGACAGGGGGAGACACAGCCTGCAGGGAGGAGTGCAGCACTCGGCAGCTGCCTGGCGTGAGGAACTGAACCCAGCCTGCCTCGAGCCTCCTTCCCCACAGCTCTCTAAGTAGCTCTAGTTGCCTTGAATTCAGCACCACGCAGAGATTCGTTGCTGCAGGGAGCCAGTGCCCAGGGGACTCTGGACAACTGGCTGCTGCTTCCTTTTAAAAAACACAAGGCGCTGCTCAAGAGCACGCGCTGACTTGATACTCTGGCTTTTTCCTCGCGGGCCTGGGACAGGGGAGCCCGCGCCAGTGCTTCCTCAGAGAGGGCGTGCCTGGGCCTTGTGCCTGTCAGAGGCAGCACGAGGCCCTGAAAGGAGCAGCCTGCAGGAAATGCAGCACCCATGCTGTTGTTTTGAGAGGGACAGGGTTTTCCAGGCCGCTGATCCGGGAGAAGGAAATAAGACCGCTTCCCTATGTGCCTCCGACTTAATGCACCTGAGTTAAGAGTTGCCCAGCGCTACAGGAACCTGTGGTGTTTGCTCTTGGACTGGCCCTGTGATTTGTAATTCATTAACTCGCACAGATGAAGAGAAACTGGCTCTCTCTCCTGTGCCCCATGGCGGCTAGTTATTTCCAAACCACCCGTCCCCCCTCCACCGTGCACTGTTGCCTACGTGATTCACATTTTCCTCTCCCAGCCTCCTTGCCCTCTCTCCTCACTCAGGGGATGGCCCAGTGGGTTTGGAACAGGGCGAGAGCGCTGCTGGGTTTTCACAGTCGAGGCTTCTCAGCAGAAGGGCTGGAATCTTACAAAATGGTCAACGTCGGCTTCTTTCTGCTCCCACTCGGAGCGGATAGGGACCCTTCCCTTTGGCTTCTGCAGAAGCAGAGTTAAACTGCTGCCGATCGCTTCGGGAAGTGCCTCCTGGCACAGAAGCTAAATTTCTGTAGGTACTGCTAGGGCATGTGATAAGACAGCTGGGAATGAAGGCGTTTTCCTTGCTTAAAAGGATCATCCAGCTGTACCTAAGCAGTTACCAAGTTGGGCTGGACTCTCGAGATTGTCTGCTTTCCCGTAACACCCCTGCTGACCCATTGCTCTACAAATACATGACAGACCGTTCCTGCCCTGGAGGGCTGAATGTCTAAATAGAGAAGATGAAGGATTATGTCCATTTTCCAGCTGAGAACAGAGGCGCAGAGAGATTCAGGGACCTGCCTAAGGTTACACAGAGTGAGCCTTTGGTGGAACTGGGAACCGAACTCAGATCTCCTGGGTCCCGGTCTAGCAGCCGTCACCTGTAGTTACAGTTTGGGGGTGTTTTGGTGTCGCTCGTCCCTGCCAACCTACTTCCTCTTTCTTTCCAGCTTGCTTCAGCTGCATAAACTTGACCCACAGGCGTCGGATGAAATGCTCTATGGGCGCATGGGATACCTCTACGCGCTGCTCTTTGTGAACAAGCATTTCGGAGAGGAAAAAATCCCTCAAAACTATATTCAAGAGGTATGCTGCCGTCTCTCGGTTTGCTCTCCGCTGCAGGCTGAATTAGCCCCCCCACATCCTACACGTTGGTCCTGTGTTCTGTCACTTCCCACCTCGCACACACTTGGAAGGGTGAAAACAGATGCCAGTCTAGGCAAACCTGACATGTGAAAATATGATTTGACACGGTGAAGGCCACAGCACGCAACCTCCGCTGTTGCTGCAGGCCTTGTTCTTCAAAAGGGATGTTGTGTCAAATGTGCTTCCTAAGGCGCCAGGATCCCGTGCCCAGAACCGGCGATGTCCCCGTTCCTCTTCCCCATCCACAAGCTAGGATTTCCATGCGCCGCGTAACTGGTACTTGCTGGGCTGGGTCCTGCCTGCCAGACTGGAGGGGAGAGATAGTGTACCTCCGAGGGGTCATCACTCGCCTCTGCTTTCCTCCTGCAGGTCTGTGATGCGGTCGTGGCGTCCGGGGAAAGCCTGGCCAAAAGGAGGAACTTCGCAAACAAGAGCCCGTTGATGTATGAGTGGTACCAGGAGTATTACGTAGGGGCGGCACATGGGTTGGCAGGAATTTATTACTATCTTATGCAGGTGAGAGAAAAGGTCTTCCCACTTCTAATGCCCTCCAATTAGAACATGGGGAGCTTTCTGATTGGCTAGTAGTGATGTCACACTGGTGTCAATCCTGGTCAGTTGTCCATCAGATGCTCTTTTATTTGGTTTGAAGCCTATTTCATAACTGCTCCAGACTCTGTTTCTGAGGTGTTACCACACTCTGAGGTGGCCAGTCACGCAGGGTTAGATTCATAAAGAAACTTAAGTGTCATCGTGCCGGATTTTTAAGTACCTAGAAAATCATGGAGATGCAGAGAGCCTGAGTTTGGCATCTTGGCTCCCTGTACAATGAAGTCACAGGCTGAATACCCGGGATAGAGAAAAGAGCGGCCAAGCATGGTGCACCAAACACGTACAGGGAAGGCACAGAGGAGATCTGACTATGCACTTCTTTAGCACTGATGGCTTTGCAGCATAGGTTCAGCACTTCAATCTGCAAGCTGTCAATTTGGGAGATTTGATGCTTAGCGCAAAATACTCCTTCCAAGGGGCTCAGAGCTGCCAAGTAGAGAGAGAACTGGCACTATAGTTTTTATCCATTGCAGTGCAATTAGAGGAGGACATAGAGGATCTGTTCCTGCTCTCCGTGAGGGCAGTGGTGAAACTGCTCCCTTAGTTTTAAACTTTTCTGTACCCTGGCACCTATTGGCATGGTCTGTGTACACATGAGAACGGAGACCTTCACCTCGGGCTGGCTCTGCAGCCGACGAGGGGGCCGTGGAGGTGTGGCGTGATCCAGGAATCATCCTACACGCTTCCCTTTGCTTCATACCACCTCATTAATCCCAATCATACCTTCGAACCAATCCCCCACCACAGGATCGGCTTTTCCTTGCCTCTTAAAATCCAATCCCCTTCTTTTTCTTTCTGTAATGGGGTTCACTCACCAGTGGGGGCGCCCCCTTGTGGCTGGATCAGGGAGATCAGCTCTTCTCCATTTGAGCACCCCCTTCTGTTGCTCACTCTCTGGAAGCAGGGGTGCTCTTTTGCTGTGAGTCAGCCCTCCCCGCCTGGTGACGACGGGTTCTTCTCTTTCTGGCGTATCACAGTCTCACCAGACCAACCGTCCCCATGCCATTTTCCCGCTTCCCATTAGCGGGTGGGAAAGCGGGCTCACCCAGCAGACAAGAGCTACGCAGGCTCAGCCCTCACCGTCTGGGCTATTCCGTCTTCTACAGGCTTCCTTCTCCCCACCGCCTCTGGGTGAACCTCTCTGGTAGGGACAGGATTGTGGGTTTCCCCCCACCCACCTTCCTGGGCCCAGAAACTGTCTGTAAACTCCCACCCGGCAGCCCCATTCTGCTGCTGACTTCCTGGCTTTATGCCTTACCCAGCTTCTCCCCACAGGGCTGGGTTTCTTCAGCAATAAAGCCCAGCTCTCCCCGAGGACGCGTCTACACTACAGCGTAGTAACGCACGTTATTTCACAATCACCAGGCGAGCGTCCACACAGCACGTCGAAATAACGGGCTTCTTATTTCGAAATAATAAACCCCCTTTTCATGAGGAATAACGCTTGTTTTGAAATTGCTGTTTCGAAGTAGCCGGAGTGTGGATGCTCCACTGCTGCTATTTCGAAATCGCTCCTCCCCAGGGCCGTTCAAAGGAATTCATCCCCAGTGCATCCTGGTGCTCTAAATCGAGGTAGTGCGTTGGAGGAGCCTGCCTCAGACGGATTTTGAGGCTTCCCTATAGCGTGGATGCGCTATTTCAAAATAGTGATTTCAGGTGTTGTTATATAAAATAACTTTGTAGTGGAGACGTGAGGTGCCCTGAGGTGCAGCAGACATTCAAAGTTCTTTAGGACTAATATGGGATCAGCACCCCCCGCCCCCCCATGCTCTCCTTGCTGGGGACTGGCCAGGCACCCTCCAGAGCCGGGCTCTATTGCTGCAGAGGAAGAGGTATTAAGGGGATGACCAGTTACATGCCCATGCCCGAGGTACTAAGCAACCTGCTCCCACAGCTCTCCCAGGCCCCCTGTATAGGAGGAGCGGTATAAGCCAGTGCAGCAGAGCTGAAGAAACCGGATGTAATCCATCACGCTAAACTCTGTTGTCATCATAGAAGCGTAAATTGCTGGTGCTGCTAAACACAGCCTTGCCTATTGGGGGAGGGACTAGCCCAATACTACTTCAGTTTAACAGCCTCTCTTGTCTGTCTCTTCCAGCCCGGCCTCGGCGTGAGCCAAGTGAAGCTGCATAACACAGTTAAACCCAGCGTGGATTATGTCTGCCAGATGAAGTACCCATCAGGCAACTACCCCCCTTGTATCGACGACACCAGAGACCTGCTTGTCCATTGGTGTCACGGGGCACCTGGTGTGGTCTACATGCTCACACAGGCCTATAAGGTACAGGGCGTGCTAGGGAATGGTGGTGGGAGAGCTTTGACCGTGGCACTTGATCTCAGAGACCTCTCACCAGGGTGTGTGATATTCCAATGAAACAATCTCCCCGCACTGTCGGGCAGGCCCCGTGTCCATGCCAATCAACATGCAAATCAGACGTTTAATGAATGGTTTCCAAACGTGTCCCGGTGTCTCACCCCAAATGCAGGGTGCTCTCGTTTCTCGAGGAGCCAGCCATGCGTGGCATTCACCCTGTGGCAGGTGACTAATGGCGATAGCGCGTTTGGAGTTAAGTCAGGGTGGCGCGACCTCGTGCATCACTCAGAAAACCATTGACAGCAGCAGGCAAAGTCACGGTGCCATTGCTGAAGTAGGAGAGGTCGCTCTCGCGAGGAGCGAATTCATCACGGAGGTGGGGGCCTGCCCCCGCCCAGCGTGGATGCCGGGGGAGAACTGCAGCGCGTGGACTTTCTCGCCTCCACAGGTGTTTGCTGAGCAGCGGTACCTGAGCGATGCCCTGCAGTGCACAGACGTGATCTGGCAGTGGGGCTTGCTGAAGAAAGGTTATGGGCTGTGCCACGGGACAGCAGGCAACGCGTATGCCTTCCTGCTGCTGTACAACCTCACTCAGGACACCAAATACTTGTACAGGGCCTGCAAGGTGAGCCGCACTGAGGGACTGCGGCCGCCGGAACGAGGGGGTGCTGGCTAGGGGAGCTCACCTGTTAGGAAAGTTACCCCATAGACAATTGCAGTATCAGCTTTTGCTAAGGAGAGGCACCGGGCAGGCGAGTGCGGAACGGAATGCCCATTCTAGAGCCGGTTTGATTCTGCTCCATCGGATTCCTGGGCAGTTGAGATGGAGATCGCGAGAACAGTGGGGTGGACTTGTGTATGGTTGGAGACGGGGGTGTGTGTGTGCACATGCTGTCTGTATTTTTGACATCCACAACCTGCCTGCTATAACACTGGGATGCTTTGTTCTTCCCTTCTCAGTTTGCAGAGTGGTGTTTGAGTTATGGGCAGCACGGGTGCCGGACTCCAGACACTCCCTTCTCTCTCTTTGAAGGTAATGGGGTCCAGCTTTTGCTCCCTAATATGTCCAGAGTCGGATTTCACACGGGTGTAAAGTGAGAGGAATTGCATTAAGACCCCATAAAATCAGCATCAGGAGACTTACACTCACTGTTTTAACCTCCTCCCCGTGCGATGTCAACAGCCGTAGATATTGGCTACAACGGTAGGGCCGGAGGTTGGTCCTCCTGTGTCACATCTGGTACAGTACAGAGCTCTCACTGGGGTAATTTTGCATTGGGGACAATTTAAGGCTACAGTAATTGCAGGCTGGCTCCCCAGCCAACCTCTGCAATCTGCGTACTTGCTATTTGGGGCAGGGCCTTTTCAGTTTGCCTCCAGAGAAGAACGAAGAAGTGAACAAAAAGAATCCATAGATCTAGTCACCCAGGGTATGTCTACGCTACCACCCTAGTTCGAACTAGGATGGTTAATGTAGGCAACCGGAGTTGCAAATGAAGCCCGGGATTTAAATAGCCCGGGCTTCATTTGCATCTTGCTGGGCGCCGCCATTTTTAAATCCCCGGTAGTTCGGACTCCGTGCCCGCGGCTACACGCGGCATGGAGTAGGTAGTTCAGATTAGGCTCTCTAATCCAAACTACCGGTACACCTCGTTCCACGAGGAGAGAGCCTAATCCGAACTACCTACTCCATGCCGCGTGTAGCCGCGGGCACGAAGTCCGAACTACCGGGGATTTAAAAATGGTGGCGCATGGCAAGATGCAAATGAAGCCTGGGATATTTAAATCCCGGGCTTCATTTGCAACTTCGGTTACCTATATTAACCACCCTAGTTCGAACTAGGGTGGTAGCGTAGACATACCCCCAGATCGCTTTCCCAAATGCTGATTCCTAAGATGTTCCGTAAATCTGCCGGCAGGAGCTACCCTGGGCCAGTTCCACAGCCACCATAAATCTCAGAACCACTCTCATCAATGGAACTAGGAACAATTTTCTAACTGCACAAAAGTGATCACCCTTGCCCCACTCCTGAGGCTCTGTCCCCCACTTCCAATCCCCCACTTGCTCATTGGCACCAGGCTGGGGTTGGGGCAGGGGTTTGGGGGTGCAGGGGGAAGCCTCTAGCTGAAGGGGTGGGCTCTGGGTTGGGGCAGGGAGGAGGAGTTTCAGGGTGTGGGGGGAGGCCTCTAGCTGAGGGTGTGGGCTCTGGGGTGAGACAGGGAGCAGGGGTGTAGGCACAGGAAGTGGCTCTGTGCTGGGACCAAAGGATTTGGGGTGCAGGACGTGGTTCTGAGGTGAGGCAAGGGATGGGATGCAGGAGGAGGTTTGGGCGGCAGGTTCCAGGAGGGGGATCAGGTGTGGGAAGGGGCTCAGGGCTGGGAGTTGGGGTGTGAGAGGGAGTTCAGGGTGCAGGCTCCAGGTGGCGCTTCCCGTGAGAAGGGGCAGTGGCACCACACCCCACAGCTCCTGGGTGTAGGAGTGGCCAGGTGGCTCTGGGTGCTGCCCACAGGCTCCTCCCCCGCAG